GCGCTCTTCCAGGATGATGCCAGTCAGCCCCTGGGTGACGGTTGCTTTTTTTTTGTGCCTTTGAGCTTAAGGTTTGCGGTTCGTTCTCAAAACTGTAGGGTTCAAGGCTTCGGGGCAAGGTTTAGGGTTGAAGTGATAGGATATCTGACGCAACTCTTAAGCCCTAAACCCTTAATAGCCCAAACACCTGAACCCTAAACCCTAACAACATCCTTAAGCTGAAGCGTTCATGGTCGAGGAGTGTGGTATCTCCACCTCTCGCCCGGTGGCACAGAAACTTGAAACCAGTAGCCCTGAAGCTCTACACACCTAGACCCTTAATAAGAAAAACACTTAACCCCTTCAAAACCTCTCCAAAGCTTCAATGGCTAAGCAACCCTATGAAATCTGACTCACAAGCCAGAATCTCGTTCCAAAATACCCTACGAAACCGTAGACAACCCTATGAACCCCCCCCCTCCTCCAGGAATAGAGATATAAACAACACCAAAAAAGAAAGACACACCTAAGGAACCCCTTTTCTGAGCTGCCGGCCAGCGCCAAAACTTCCACCAACCTCTGAGCTTCGGCACAACGGGGCTCAGGGAGTCTGGGGCTTCAGGGCTTTAGGGCTTCAGGATTTAGGGTTTAGAGGTTTGGGGCTTCAGGGCTTTAGGGCTTCAGGAAGTTTAGGGTTTCTAGGGGTTTGGGGTTTAGGGCTTCAGGGCTTCAGGAGGTTTAGGGTTTCTTAGGGTTTGGGGTTTAGGATTCTTCAGGGTTTAGGGCTAGGATCTCGGGTTGAAGGGTTTCCTGGGGCTTTACGGTGCTGAGAAATGATTTTGGAAGTGTTCTAGGTTTTTTGTTTGAAGGGTTATAGTGTTCCTATGAATTTGGGGTCCACTGCCCGGTGTCCGGTTGTGATGCTGCTCCGGAGAGTCAACTCGCGTAGCCTTCGGGCTGTCGCCAAAGCGGCTTCTGCGACCCTGACCCGGACCAACCCTCCTCCGGAAATGAAGAGCAGTTTACTAAGAAATGCAAGAACCCTCCTTCGGAAATGAAGAACATGTTTACTAAGACATGCAAGAACAAGTAGAATAAGAAGTGTACTCATAGCAATACGAACAACAAGACAGTGCCACCGGTAGATATCAGATGGTAGTATCATACTGAGTAGCTAGTGTCATAGTGATATGATTCTAATACTGGCGATCAACAATGGCGGAAGTAACACCCCATGGAACATTCAGGCTCCTGTATTGCCTGCGTCATGCAATCAAGGATTCTGAGTTTTGGATGGCTTCGGTAGCTACCTCAACCCTAAACCCCAAACCCTAAACTGGGAATCGGGCAGTTGTGCAGAATGCACCTGGCTGGAAGCTGCTCAAACCAAAAGCAAAACCCACAACCACTACTAGTAGTTAACTCCCGCAACTTGCTCGAACCAACCCTAACCCTATAACCTCAACACCACGTTCAACGGCGAAGGATGGCTGAGGGTTAGGTGTTCTCGTATATTTAGGTTTAGTACAGGGGCTTTGCAATAATTGGGACTGGGTTTGGGTATATACTACAGTAACAGGCAACAGGGGATAAATACAAGAACAAGAGATGATTCAGCCCTCTGTATGGGTATAATGAGAAAACTGCAGGCATCCAGGGGAGGTCTTGCTACAAGCAGCCCAAAATCACACGATTGCTCCTCTTTAGCGGATGTTCACACAGCTATGGAGCTCTCACCTAAACTCTAAACCCTAAACCAACATGTAAGCCATGAGCAGCAACCAAATCATGCCTCGTCGAAGAGGTCCACGTACCGCAATGCTGCCTGTCACTGGAACTAACCTGAACTCAACAACCCTTCCGGTCTAGGATTTAGGGTTTGGGGGTTTTGGGCTTAGGGTGTGTATACCGTGCGCGAGCGGTGGTTGAGCCTTGCACTTTAGGAATGATTACGGGCGCACCCACTTATCGTGCGTTTGCGTAGCCTCAACTATTCTCAGTTGAGATTTAGGGCTCCGCGCCCAAACCCCCTCAAGGGGGGCTTTCTTGCTCTCTGCTTCCCTTCGTTCTGCACAAAAGATGACCACGTTTCACAGCAAGCCACAGCTGATGGATTGTGGATTTCACACCCTGTACAGGTCGCTCGGAATTTAAGATCTATCCTCGCAGGCTTGGGCCGGCTTGGCATTTGGAGGTTCGACAGCAGAGGCACCGAAATGGCGTCAGGTCTCTGGAATCCGCCAGCATGGCCCGCAGACTTTCGGGGAGGCTACTGAGTGCGGACCAAACTTCGTGTTTTTGGGAACACCTGTAATCTGCACAAACCCCCCCAAAAGGTCATCCTTTAAAGCGGTCCTTGGAGGCTCGGGTCCTGGGAACCTGCCAGCCTGGATCTCCGCGTATAGAACCGTTTCTGGCCCCACACTGGGTACCTTAGGCCAAAGCCCAAAAACCACTGGTCCGAGTCCGGCGTAGCCGCGTCCTTTCCGTGGCCGTATACCGGGAGGCTTTACCCTCCCTCACCGTTCTGTCGGTCGGTGCCTCGAGCACTCATGCAAATGGTCAGCGGCGCTCTCTGCAGCTTCGGGTTGAGGGTGAGGGTTGAGGGTTTAGGGTTCGGTCAGGCAAAACCCGAGGGCAAAACCCCAGCCATAAAGCCGAAAAAGGAGGTTCGGCTTTGAAGCTTTCGGGCTTGCAAGCAGTTACTACCGTATCCACCAACCTCCAACATGAAATGGGGGTCTATGGGCGCACGCTTCAGAGTTCAGAGGTTTGGTCTAGGGCTTGGTTCAAGTACCCCTTATTCCCTTCATAGGGTTTAGGGTTGCAGGGTTTGGGAGTTTGGGGCTTAGGATTTAACATCTTGGGGGGCTTAGCTAACGGCCTTAATATCTACAAAAGGTCTTGGGGTTCTTGCAAACTACTCGAAAAGAACCAAGGGTATCATACCACCAACGGTTCCTAAACCCTCCTAAACCCTGAACCTAAAAATCCTAAACCTCAGGTCGTTGACTCCAGAGCCTTTGCCCCAGCCAATGTGAACTTAGGTCGGGGATCTGCGGAGGGTGTCGGTAGCCCCTGACTCGTTCAAAGTATGGCAGCAGAGGTACTGTTGATGATATAAATCCGGCATTGCCTTAAGGACACTATACTATGGGAATTATGGTATATTCCTTAATGTGGGTAATGCAGGCTTTATACCATCAACCGTAGTTTAGTAGTGTTTAGGGCAGCTTAGGGTCAGACCTCTGAGGAAAGGCTCTCCAACATCTCTGAAAAGCCCGCTCGCCCCTCGGTTTCCCCCAGGTGCTTCTTTCTCAATGACTCTGTGCACGAAAGCCTTGGAAGCAGCAGGGTTGCACCGAATTCCCCGACATCCCGAAACTCAACCCGGCATGGATTGGTGAAAGGGCCGGGCGCAACAAGACATGCAAAGGTTGCCCGAAAATTCTGCATGCACTTACTCGTGCAGTTGCCCAGGGGAAGTAAAGCCTAACCTTTGCAGTCTATAGGCTAGGGAGCATAAAACTACATTCACGACTTGTTCAGGGCATTCGCAAGTGCAAGCTGGCAAAGATCGAAGAGTGGTACCCGTTGTTGCTCTGAATTGAGTACCAGGCTTTACAAAAAAAACGACACACTCGTTTGAAGGTCTTGGGTAGCTACAAAATAGACATCTGCCAGCAAGTGGCGACTGGGAAATGCGTGCATATGCATAGCTGAACCCTATAACATCCCATATTTCTCATAAACCCCAAGCCCCAAGCCCTGAACGCTAAACTCAAAAACCTACGTAAATCGAACTCTAAACCCTAAACCTAAGCTTTAAACCCTATACACCTAAAACCAAAACCCCAAAATCCTCTTCTGGAGCCAACCAGAACTCAGGGCCTTCGATGACGTAGGCTCGGATCAAGCTAAGCGCTGCTAAGTCGTAGGGGATCTTAAGGATTTTAGGGTTTGGGGGTTTAGGGTTCAGGGGTTGAGGGTCTAGGGTTTAGGGTTCAGGGTCTAGGGCCTAGCCTGTTGTCTTTTGGCTTTTTTGAACTTTAGGCGCCGTTGTCGTGCCTGATTAGCTTCCTCCACTGGACCAGGACCTGGACCATGAGCATCTTCTCCTTCTTTTTTCGAAGTGCCTTTGCCTGGACTCTGCATGACAGGCAACACAAGACTACTTGTAACTTTAGCACTGGTAAAAACGCTGGCAGCCTTAGCAAGCCACGTTGCCCGTTCCGCACTTCTCGGTGGTGCCGGCAAGAGGTGTGGTACCTCCGCCAGCACTTTGTCTTTGCATTGCTTCAAGGCTTCGAGCCTGGCGAATGCAGAGGGGTGAGTGAAGGGCTGAGGGGTGGGTGAAGGGCTGAGGGGTGGGGACAACACTTCTACACTCCCTCCGTGGTTCCGGGTGTCTGGCTGCCACGATTTAAGCAACTTCTCCGCAGGGGTTGGGTGCATATCATTCTATGCCCCGAAACGGCACTGTTGTACTGCTAGTCTGGTCTCCGTGGGTGGTCTTCTGATGATCTCCTGGTGTCCTATGGACGCTGCGCTCTCCTAGTGGTCTTTCGTGGTCTTTGTGATATCCTGGTGGTCTCTTGGTGGTCTGACCCTTGCTGGAGCTCTGGAACCTCGTGTTTTCGAGTTTTCCACAGGGTTCCTGGAACGGACGGCCCACCCAAGGCTCCTAGAGCTAACGGGCCTCCGAGTGTGTAGTGGGTGGAATGCTTCCGGCAGTCTCCTGTGCTCTCGGGCCTCCAACTGATGCTTTTTGTACAAATGTAGTGCGGAAAATGCTTCGGAAAAGCGGCGCGAATGCTGGAAAACTCAGATGGCAACTAGTTTTCCCATGCATATCGAACCACCGGCCCGGTGGGCCTGTGCTGTTTAGGGTTTAGGGTTGAGGGAACAAAGATGCCATGCTTGAGGTCTGTATTTTACCAAGCATAGCGAGTCACAGGCCCGGTGGTGGTGTGATCTTTCACTAATTACTATGAAACCCTGAACCATCCAGCCCGAGAGGCAACTGTTTCAAACCCGCGCGACGTGGCACGGGCCGGCGGCCGAGCGATACCCTGGGACACAGCCGATAGGGTCTTGCTCCAATGTAGCGGGAGGAAGACTGATTCTACGCACCCAAGTACAAAGAACGACCTTGATACGTGGCCTGCTTCTTCCTCAATATGTCAGTGGGTTCACTTCAGCCACACTTGCAATCTCTGTTTGTTGTGGTACCCGAACCGATCGCACGGCACGACAGACAAAAAACTGAGCATACCTGTCATAGTCATGATGCAGTTTCGCTATCTGAATTCCCTGGCCATTTTCGATTTCCTTTCCCCTGCGCCTCTCTGGAATCCGTCCTATCATCCTTTCATTACACTACACCCTTAGTCTACATGTGGAGCCCTTACACCTCCGAGTAAGGGATATTGGAGTCGTGGGTTCCCTGACATCTTCACCACAGAACCCCTAAACGCAAAATCCAAATCCTAAACCCCAAAACTCGAAATCCTAAACCCCAAAAGCAAACTCCTCAAACCCCAAATCCAAAAACCTAAACTCAAAGCTCAAAACCCAAGCTACCGAGATGTCAATAATACTACGCCGGCTCGTATTAAGACCTGTTTTTTTTTTTTTT